TTTTTTTTTTTTTTTCTTGGCTCCTATCCATAGAGCAGAGGGGCTCCTGTGCTCCGCGGGCAGCGCAGAGTGCCCTCCTCCTTTTCCTCTTCCTTCTCTTCCTTCTCCTCTCCCTCCTCCTCTTCCTCTGTCTTCTCTTGTTCCTCCTCTTCCTCCTCCTCCTCCTTCTCCTCTTCGACTGCCAACTGGCTCTCCCGGTTTAATTTAATTTGGGGTTCGTTTGGGTTAATTTTTTTTTTTTAAGGACTTTATCAGCACTAGAAGTTTTCAGTAAATGTAGCTCTACTGTACTGCTCAGACCCTTTCTAAGAACTGTGAATTGTTTTTACAGTAGGAAACTGTTGGGCTTTTCTTGCAACCATTTTTTAAAATTCCCTTTTTTCAGCCTGGGAATCACTTGACTTTGTTTGGGCCTTGTGATCAGCCCTCAGCAGGAAGGGAAGCAGGGCTTTTGTAAGGGAAAAGCAGTTACTGACACACACTGGCAATAAGGATACAAACATTTTTATTTTTTTTCCTTTTCTATTTTTTATTACTACAGCAATGTCAAGGGATCAGTTGCATTATGTTTTATATTTAAGATAATTAGCAGAATTTAATCTAGCCATGGCCTACGGGGGCTGGGGGATAGAGAAGTCTGCAGCAATAAGGAATTACTGATGTGGAGAGATGTGGGGGCAGACTCAAAATCCTGTCAGCTGTGTCTTTCCTTGGAGCAACTACCAGGATGTAGATTATTAAAGGAGAAATATTTAAAATACATTTGTGTTGCTTGTTGGTGGGGAGGGAGTCAATGGCATGGGGGGGATCTGGTGATTGCAGCAAACTGGCCCTGAGCTGTGTGGGGCAGAGAAAGGCAGTGAAGTGCCACGAAGGAATTAGCTAAATGTGCATAAATAAATATAAATAATATATATAAAAGTGCATAAATACACACACACACATATAAATAGAATCCTCTCTCTGTATATATGTGAAGCCACGTGTATCTATGGCTCTGCCTGTGCCTATATATATATATATATATATATATATTTATATATATATGCATATTTTATGTATCTATACTTTTATGCACTATATATAATGTAATGGATAATAGATAATTATATATTATAGATAATTATGACATATATTAGATAATTTATAATTATATGTGTATATTATATGTGCATTTTTGCGTATTTTACGTATCTATACTATTATGCACTATATAATAGTTAATTATAATTATATACAATAATTACATTTATTTAAATATTGTATATAATAATATGATTTCATATATAATATTATGTATTCTATATATTTTAATATATATTATGCAGAAAGCCCAGATCAGCCCCTGCCCAGTGTGAGCACAGTAGCTCATGAGTTCCTGGCTCTCGCTGGCAGCCAGGGTGATGGGCAGCCTTGATGAAAATAAGTAGCTTAAATAAATAAAAAGGACTCCAGGTGCAGGATCAGTGCTGCCATCCAGCTCCCAGCCAGGGCAGCTGGTGCCTGCAGCCTCCCAGCTGCTGAGTGGGACCACGCCTTCAGGAAATGGGGATTTGGTTTATTCCGTGGTTCACTGGGCCTGAGGGTCACTGCAGCTCTTGGTGCAAGTTGGGTGATAAGACTGGAGCATTCAGAGCTCAGCACAAACATCCACAACAGCGTGAACACAGCTCCCTTGTGTTTAAGAGGAGATTTGTGAGGATTTAAAAAAAAAAAAAAAGTCTAGAATCAATGTTTTCATCCGATTCCTTGTGACTCCCAAAAACAATTACAATCAAACTTCATAAAAGCCGCAGTAAAACCCACAGCTTTTCGTCCCTATGACTGACAGGAGGCCATAAAGCAGTTAACGAGAATCACAAGTGGCTGTATCTCAAGGAAGCACATTTATAATGTATTTTATTATTTATTTTAGTTATGTAGCAGTCTCATGATGGCTTACGATTTCCCAGATTACACGTCACGAACCAGACTTTACAGGTTTATGAGCAAATACTCTGGGCAGTGACAGGAGTGCCAATGCTCATTTCCCAGCTCCTTGTGTGCATGAAGTGCAGTCCCCATGGAAAGGCTCTGGTGTTGATAGTGGTGTTGCTGGGCAGGGCAAGCAGCTGGTCTAATCCTGCAAGTTATGTCAACATCATCTCCGACCTGAAGGTTTACATCCTTCTCAGCCTTTCCATGAGGCTACGGAGAACCGGGAGCCCTGGGAGCAGGTTCCGCAGCCGTGTCCCTCAGGTGACCGCTGTCACATCAAGTGACAATGACACAGCAGTGACAGGGGCCAGTTTCCTGCTGAGTTTCATTTCTTTCAGAGCCCTTTTCTCTCAAGGAAGTGCTTTCTGCAGTAGCTCAAGGTCTATTTATAGGCAATGATAAAGACATATTTGCTGTGAGACTGACGCCATCCAACCACTCACACCATCACATTTCTTCATGGAAACACTGATTAATCGAGAATGCAAACTTTTAAACTCTCACTACCAGAAGTCTAGCCACAGCTCTATTTAAAGTTTAAAGAATTTGCTATATTTAATGTTTAAAGAATTCAAAAATAAAACTGTGGCTATAAGATTGATGCTATGGATAAATGTAACTTGTTCACCCCCACTGCTCTCTCATTATGATTTACTTAAAACCACCCAGGCCACCATGTACAGTCTCAAAAAATAGCAGCAAAAATAAAAACAAGGTCCAAACCCCACTTGAAATGTAATCCAAGTTAATTTTTTATACCAAAATTAAACTTACCATCTTGTCTAAGATTTTCTTAGGTCTTATACTTTTTTGGAAAGTGTTTGCTATTTATGGCAGGCATAAATATCAGAATGGCAAACTGTGTATGTAGAGGTTTATTTTGAGACTCCCATCAAGACATCCTGCTGTGCAGCATCCAATTTGCTAATTACTTTTAAATACCATTACTGTGGCTGTGGAGAGAGGAAGATGTTTTACTCCATGTGCTCCCCAGACCAAATTTTAGTCAGTACCTGTAAGAGCAGCAGTGGAAAATAACCAAGTTGTGAAATATTACATTCTGCTCCCTTCCACCGAGGTTAGTAAGTACAATTTACTTTGTTTGAAGCAGCTTTCAAACAGCCTGTTATCAAAACCCTCCTCTCCCCACCCTCTGGCTCCCTCAGCAGCCAAAGCTCCAGTAACCACAAACTAGTTTGAACATGAGCATACGAAGCAGCTGAAGTTCAGCAACAACCTCACTATAGAGAGCAAAGTAGACAAAACACAAGTTTCTTAGATCATTGGGGGGAAAAAAAGTGCATTGAAATGAAGCACAGAAATAGAAAACACTGCTGGTACACACTCTAGGAAGTCAGGTTTAAAAAAAAAAAACCCAAACTTCTGTAAAAATATGTTTTGAAGAGCCCTTGAAGGCACGAACAGCAGCCGCCCTTTGCAAGGCAGGTGATTTCCCTGCTGTGCCCAACCTGCCTGGCATGAGTTACTTGAGTCTGGGCAGCTCTATATTTAGGGACAGCATTCCCTGAATGGCCCAATTGGAAAAATGACCTGGGAAATACAGAAATACCAGCGAATACAATCATTTAACAAATGCCTCGTGGGTATGCAAGCTTAAATCACAACAAAAATACGAAGCTGGAGTCCCCTTGTACCATCTTTCACATCTGTAGGTGTGAGACAACCAACACACACCCCAGGCCAAAGGACATTTCCACATTTCTCCACAATCAGCATTTTCTCCTCAACCAGGTGATCTCATTCCAGTGCTGAGAACTGGAGCCACTTTGTCATCTCCCACCCTCTCCCACCCTTCTCATCTCTCCTGGGATGGGACCAGCTTCCTTCAGGACTAATGAATCTCTCAGAAATCAACCCATCCTGAGCAGTGGTTGCTAGAATAATGTGCAACTTTAAGAGCATATAGCAAGGTGTGGGATTACAATATATGGTGAGAGGAAACATTTTTTTTTTAGCTTTGAAGAAAAAAATAATTCCTAGTCAACACCTACAGGAGTGCAGAAAAAAACCCACCCTTGAGCAGGTTGGAAATCACACAGTGTTAAAAATAGCCTTCAGCTTCCAGCAGGATCTAGGGTTCAAGGTATGCACTGGAAAGTTTCCAGCCTCAGCAGCCTATGATTTATCCTGCAGGTAGGGGGAAAATGGAGATTTGGCTTCGGGTGAGGTTGAGAGCTCACCACAGGCTGCCAGGGACAAGGTGTCCAGGGGCACAGGCTCAGCAAGGAGTCTCTGAAACTCCAGTCAAGGCAAAAATCTCAAAAAAACCCAAAGCAACACATCCTGTTTCCAGTGACAAAGTCTCAGAGAGGTTAACAGGCAAATCTGTAGAGGACACTGTGAGGGATGATTAATGTACAACCAGAGAGGACTCAAATTACAGGAACAAGGGCTGGGGAAGGATCTATGTGGGCTTGCACAGCCTTCAAAGCAGCTTCCAGGGAAGGGACAAGTCAAGGTCACATGAGATACCACGTTGTGTCACTGACACACCTGTCTCTTTTGTGGCACTTTGTTTTTCTGTGATCCACCTGACTTCTGAGTCCCCTCCCTGGCAAGGTCTGACCCTACCAGCTGACTTCTCCTTTGCACTGGGAACAATCCCACGTGGAACGATCTCCTGGGGAAGGGCCACCCAAACCCCAGTTTTGGGACAGGCACATGTGGAGCTGGTGCAAATTCTTCGAAGAGCTGAGCTGAAGAGCTGCAGCTTTTACATAACACCTTCCCCTGCCCTCGCCCACCTGCTCTGAGTCAGCACAGCAGGTTTTCCTCATCTGTACTCTCCTATTTCTGCATCAGCAGAAGGTTGTCAAATCTCTGCAGCCAGCACAAACAGGACACATCAAGAAACAATTAAAACAGGGATTTTCTTCCCTACAAAATCAGTTATTCCGCAGCAGGATTTCTATTTCACACGCTATTGAAGTGACAGATATCACAGAAAATTACATCAGGTCTTTTCTGCCCTCTGACTCATATTCCTAAATAACTTTGGTTGACTCATTTCTCCTAACTTGGCTGAAATCTAAGGTTTCCCTCTCTTAACAAATAAAAAGCAGCTCTCTCCCTTCCTTCAGCTTTTCCAAGTGAAGATTCTGAACATTCCCACTATTCCAACTAGCTGCAGGAAATTAAAACCAAAGAGATTCTAGCTGACAAGACAAGCCACCTACCTCGTTGCCATGATTACAACGTGCAGAACCTTCTCTGAGCACACCCTGGATCAGCTACACACAAAATGGACTCGCTATATCCAGTCACTAAAAACACAGCCAACAGATTTACCATGAATAATTAAAGTCATTTTTATGTTCTACATCCACCTACAACTGTGTTTATGTTGCTACAGAAAAACCACCATTAGGACTGAAAATCATCAATGTAAGTAACTGCACCCTGATTAAATGAAGCCACAACAGGAACAGGGCACCAAGAGATATGCTATTTTATTTAAAATCAGAACACAGTAGATTACAGAAAGACTCATTATGCAAACAAATCCACTGTATGTTTCACAACTTGCTCAGTATTAAACTGCCCCTTTATTAGACAGTCCAGGATCCCACAGAGGAACTGGTGCAGGATGACTCTGCCTCCTCCAAACTCCATGTTTGCCAGGAAGCTCTGTAAGGAATTGTGGGTTGGATGATTCCAGTTTGAGAGGGCAGAGAAGTCCCAAGAGAGGTCGAGACTGAGGTTGTGGAAGTTGGGGCACTAAAGCCATGATGAGCCTGTGCCCAGGTGCCTCCTGGCATCCCACAAAAGCTCCTGTTCTGCCGTCCCTCCAGGGTCAGAGGTGACCTGTCTGGATCAGCTGTGCTGGAACAACCGACTGCACCCTCTCTAGGAGACAGCACTGACACCCACCTGTGAGTCAGGACAGTTCAGTGCTGATCACCAACCAAAGTCTAACCAAATAAAACTAGTTATAACTTACAAAACTGCAGACAAACGACTGGCAGAAGTAATGCCACCCAAAGAGAGCATTTCCAATGCTACCAACACTCTAAAGCCGTGTTACACATTGTATTTAAGAGATTTTTCTCCACTCCAATTGCTTTGGGGAAGTATATGCTATTTGTAGCAGACATCAAAAATCCTCATTTTATATATATATATATATATATTTGGCAAGCATCCTGAGCCACCCCCCTCTCAAGTCTCAGCTTGCCTATGGCATTTTAATCTCACTATCTTATAAACAGTGCAAATTAGTACAACTCTAAACATCCTAGCCAGAGCAGAATTTATATATTAGCTATAACAGAACAGGAGAAGCTGTTCAAGGGCAACAGGTTGAAAGCACTGACACAGCTCTTGCCCAACTGATCCAGGTTAGTGTTTCAAGTTTGTTGCTGGAAGGATTTAAACAGCTTTCCACAGCCATTTTTCTCCTTTCCCCTTAAACATCACCAGCAGTCAAGTAAATATTTACAGTTTGTGCCCACACACACACACAAATTAATGGCAAAACGTTGTCCATGAGCAGCTGGACTTCAGTTATGAGACTGTAATAACTGAGACACCACATCAGTTACATCACCTATGTTCAAACTTACCCATCAGTGAAGGCAACTAGAAGCTTACAAATAGCAGATACAGCTGTTTTTTTTCTGAAGTATGAGGGTGAGTTTCTTTGTAAAATCAGTGCTCTTGAAGAGCCCTTAAATCAGAGTTAAGCAATGGCCATTCAAATTATAAAAATGCTAATTTCCTAGAATTACAATCACCAGTAGTGATCCTAAGGCACATCAGCCACATGCATATGCAATAATGCATTGTTTTGCTTTCAGACAGAAAAATTGCATTAGCTTTGTCTGTTATTTAGTGTGCACAAGAGTTTGTTTTTAGATAAAGTATCCCTGAAAGGTCATTGTTATCACAAAAGTTACCAAAAGACAGAAGATTTAACAAGTAGTAAAAATATTTTTGGACTACTAATACCAAGAAAGTTCCATACACAAAACGCAGTGCAAATTCACAATACACTTATCCATCACCTCCATCACTTCTGAGGACTTTCAACCCTCAGAAAAAAGTTGGCACTTGATAAGTGTAAAATATACCTGGTTGTTTTTATGAAATCTTAGTTAAACTGATTTGAGAGTGTTTTTGTGTAGCAGGCTCAAAGTATGAATTCCTGTACTCAGTCACCACTCTGGTAGCCCCCATCCACTTTAATTCTTTCCAGGACACAAACCATTTCTACAGCAGACTTATGTTTAGGATCCAGATACAACAGCTGCCATCCAAATACCAGCACTAAAAGCACAGCAAAATTACTTTGAAACGAGTCATAATTAACCATGCTTATACAAAGCTTCAGTGAGAAAATAATACCAAGTAAAGATATTACACTATTTTTTTTAAAAAAACACATCCTGTACCATCACTAGATTACAGAAAAAACACACTTAGCAAACAAATCCAATGCACGTTGCTTCACAAAATCCCCCATCTATAAAAACTTGCCAGACTTACACTGGGGAATTGGTTCAGATGCCAATAACACTGACCAACCTTCTGCCCTTTGTCTTCAGAAGGCAAAACAAGTCAAATGATCATATTTTCAGAATCGAGAGCTTCCTGTTATGAGCTTAATTTCAGATTAGTATTTGCTAAGCACCACACTCCAGAGGAAATGATTAAGGGACAGTTCAGGGCCTTATGTAAAGAAAAAAATAAATATTCTATTCTGACTGATGTTGTTTGTAGTACAAACTTCCAAACAATGTAGTGCATTCCAGGACAGTGATACCAAAATGCTCTGAAATAACCAGGGGCTATGACAGATTCTGGACTGATTGATAACAAATTCACAGACACATTCTGTGCAAACAACAAGTGTTAAGATTTGCCTCCCCCAGTGCTGGATTAAAATACCAGCACATGTCTGCACCTTAAGCTTGGAGAATCACACTGAGAATGAAATGTGAGCTGTCCTAAAATGCCTCCTCTCCAGTGGCATAAGTCAAGAACAGATCCTGTAAGATGCAAACAGCCACCGTGGAGTTCATAAAGTTTTTCTGTTTTGCCTACTTGCAGAGGAACGTTAACTGCAAATTCCAGATGGATACACGTGCCCAAAACTGCACAACTAAAGGAAATGGGAAGTTAAAAATAGTTCTGCTAAGTGAGAGACAGAGTTAAGGGATAAAATGAAATTGTGAATCTTCAAGTGGGCAATTACATGTGAAAATCCAGTATTTGATTAAGAAAATACCCTGCCTAGATTCCTGGAATCACATGATATCAAAAAGCTAAGCACCTGTGTAAAAAAATCAGTTGTGTATCCAAGGTGTGGAAAAGGAGAAAAAAACAACTGTAAGAAAAAGTCTTAACAGGCAAGGAAATAAAACTGCCTGGTAAAGTGTCTATAAAACTCTAAACTGGCTCTACAAACAGTTTAGTTTCATTTCAAGAGACCAGGACTTTGAGGGTATCGAGCTGTTCAGGAGTGGAAGGAGTGCCTACTCTGATTACAAGAACTCTAAGGTAACAACTGAAATGCAGAAATGAAACTCTTGTAGTTTTCCCTGCCTGAAAACCACCCACCGTGTTCTGACAAGAGTTGCAGCTCAGTGAGCTCTGAGAATGTTGTGCACCTGGCCCTGAATGCAAAAGGATGTCAAGGAGACCCAGTGCACGCCCCTTGCCCAGCAGATATGGGCACCAACAGAGAATTCCTTAGAGACACAAACAGCTCCCATTTGCCACACATACATCCAGCTGTGATGGGAACCCACCAGGGCAGAAGAGGATGCTGATCTACCATCACTAAAGAATTCAGAGCGTGACTCGGTTGGTAAGGTCAGGAAATCCACCACAGGCGGCTTCCCCATTCGATGGATTTATAAAATTTAGACCCTCTCACCTTCTCAGGAAAACCTTGTCACCTTTGAACACAAACATCATCACATTTACCAAAGCAATTGCAAACCTCTGTGCCACAGCTCGGCCTTTGTACTCCATTGTGCAAAGAACAGAGGCTTCCCATTGCTACAGCAAGTCTCTGATGGGGGGGAAAAGGAAATATAAGCACCAATACAATAAGTCAGGCGCACCGGAATATTTACTGGAGGATAAAGCCAGGATGTGGCGGAACACGAGGTGGTCTTTGGGGAAGAGCTGGAGGATACTGTGGTACAAACTGAGATGGGTATCCTGGCTGTGGCATTTGACTTGTGGGCTGAACATCCCCTGGGCGAGGCGGGAGAGGAGGGTATGGAGCACCTGGATAAGAAAGAGCTGGTCCTGAGCTCATGGCTGCGGTAAACGGAGTAGGGAAGCGTCCTGCTGGGACTGAGGAGGGTGGGGGGGGTGGTATCCGTCGGGGCACGACGGAAGGAGGAGTGTTTGCATCCGGCTTGTAGGAATCTTGAGGTGCTGGTGTTGTCTCGGGCGCTCTGGGCTGAGCTGGAGGCTGAACCTGAGGAAGTCTCTGTCCCTTCAGCACCATTTCTTGGAGCTTCTCAATCTTCACCCGGCGCAGGTGAGCCAGTTTCCTCTTGCTCTGGTACTCATCAATGAAGGAATCCAGTGGTATTTCACCATCAAGGAATTTTTCTGCCATATTCTGTCAAATACAGAACAATCTCTTAGAAAACAGAGCACTGCAACAGAATCTAAATGGCTCACATCCTAAAAATAGCAGCGTTTTGCCTGTGATTTTCCAGCTGGCGTATGGAAGATGACTGGCATACTAAGAATTCTGAGCAGAACTTTGAGTTCGTTATTACTCAGAAGCACTGGGAGTTAAATATCACTTTTGCATAAATTTATACCGAAGTAACAGCAGTAAAAACATCTGAACATTCCCTGATCATCAGAGATGGGAACGAAGCAAGGCCAACAGCTTTCCAGATTGCCAGCTAAGCTGAATTACAGCTCAGTGCTGCTTCAGTGCCAACAGAAACACTGAGAACTCTGTGAGGCTCAGCACAGAGAGGCAGATTATTGCTAAGTCAGGTTTAATACTCACCCTTACTTGTGGCTTTGAGCAAATGATGTTTAATAATTGAGAGGTGAACAAACATATAATCACAAAATCCAACCTGTCCTGGGAATGTCTTTTCATGATCACAACTCAAGGCTAATAAACAGATTTTTCCCCCGATATAGTTATAGAAAATGCCTGCAGGCAAATCAGCAAAAAAAGCCAAGCACTCCCATTATTCTGAAGTTAGACCACCCTTCAAGCACTGGTATCACAGCAAGTGGTGACCAGTGGCACCTGCACAGACATGCAGAAATCCTAATGGAATATTTCATCCGAAACGCTGCAAAAAACCAGTGCAGGCACAGTTTTTTATTAGGCTACTAATTGACATTTATAATGAAGTAATACAGATACCAGGCAAACACCACTAAAAAGAGATTCCATTTGTATACACAATGAGTTTGAAGGCAAAGCCAAGGAACTAAGAGGGTTTGGCTTTCTTTTCTAAAAGGGAGCATCTTCTCTCTCAAACTTCAAAGATGTGAAGAGTAAAAAAATCACTCTGATAAAAAAAAAAATCACTGGAACTGAATGGCTGCTCACTGAAGTTCAAAGCAAAGACCAGACCATATTCTTATAAATATCCCTTAGTGTACACCATGTTAAACTCTGCACTGCAGGAATGGACTCTGGGAGGTTCAGTTATGGGTGTAAGTGGCAGAATTGGAGTGTTCTGTCGTTACCTCTGTGTCTTCCTCAATCTTTGCCCCCTCGGTCTGCAGCAGAGCCAGTAGGGTCTCCAGGGAAGCATTGCTGGATTGTCTGTCTGTAATGGCATGGAAAGAACAGAAAATGACAGCTGCCTCTAAGTGACTTATAACTACAGCCCCAGACAGCTCAACAATCTCTGAGGCACATATGTACAAGCAGCAGGCTCCTTGTTCTAGACAGGGTGTTCTACAGTAAGAGATAGAGTAAGAATATTGTCAGAATACTGCCAGAGTGCTAAAAGCTGACATTTAATTACAATGATACATTTATAATATTGAAAGCCAAAGCACTTCAGCAAGTGCAGAATCAGATATGCAGTACTTCATGATTCGGTATGAACTGAAAGGTCAATGCAATATTCTGTTTGATTTACAATTAGTCACTGAAAATTCAACTTGTGTTTTTAGCAAGGTAAATGAATCTAATCATTAGGGAAGAGCAGGACAAGAACAGGTAGGTAACCACACAGTAGCAGAGAGAAACCACAGTATCTGTCACTAGGTGTAACAGACACTTAATAAATCATAATAAGTGTGATCTAGTTCAGAGCTACACGAGAGTGACATTTCACTTTGTACCCTAATTCACACAGATAGAAATGAGACACCACAAACCAAACAACAAACAGGCAACAGATTTACATTCACTTAGAAAACAGCAAATCATAATTGTCAACGGCAAGTGTTACCTAGTTTTGTTTTCTTTATCTGGTATGCTTCAAAAAGAACTTGCAGCTCTTGATATTTTTCAGTCAAATTTGATTTCAAAGACTCCAACTTTGGCTGGTACAAGAGATTTCCTTCTGCCAGACTGCGGTTGCTGGCGAGAGTCATGTCCTTGCTGTGCTGAACATTTTGGGCCTGGAAAGAAATAAATATTTTAAGCAGTGCCTGAAATAACAGTGAAATTATTAAGCAGGACAATAAAAAAATTTGAAAACTTTTAAATAAAAAACAAAAGTAAAAATTAGTGCTGTGGTATTGAACCTGCAAATGATGACCAAATGATGACACTGACAGATAAAGCAACAGTTGCTCTCTGAAAAGATCTGAATTCCAGCAGTGAGATGCAATGACTGCAGCAGAATGTCACCCCTTATCTTGTTAATATTCTTCCTCCAACTGTGTTGAACCAATCCTGGATTAATGCCAAAAGCTTCTTTTTTTTGGTTTATTCCTTCTGCTTAACATTTCCTAGCCTTAAGACATTATTCCTAAAGAACAACTGACAATTGTCACAAGTTCAGGATTCAGCCAGATTCCCGTTTGCTCACACTCCCATAGACACAGGATTTTATCAAGACATTCTTCAGGAGCTTTGGGAAAGCTGAGTGTTTGGGGAACTCTGTCCTGGGTGTCACATTTGATTCATTAAAATATTCAGACATCAAAAGGGAAAGAAACCAAAAACCAAGGGATCCGATTTCAGATTTTCAGTCTGAATCAACAAGTGGAACAGTCTTCCCATGGCACAACACAACTCTGTTAAGCTGCCTTCAAAAACCAACAAAACTCCTAGTACCCTTTTTGTGACCTCCTCCATCAATACCTCCCTTCCAGCCCACCTTATCCCTGTTTAGCTCCAACAGATCCCATTTACAGACCTCGCACATCAGTCAGTGCAAACACGAGGGGCTTTCTCCTTCCACACTCCTGTGTGGATACAGAGCCACACCTCAGAAACAGGAAAAGAGGAAACCCAAATGAGCTGTTTAAAAGCCCCAGAAAAGGACAGGATCAAAATTCAGGTGTTTTTCCAAGCATAGCAACTCTCTTTGAAAGCAATTACTTCCTTTTGAAATATTTACACACTACTTTAACTTGCTAAATTCAAAATTGGCTCAGTGTTACTTAAATACACCTTTGCCCCCAGATACTGCTCTTCAAATACCCAAGTTTTACTCTCTTTCACCCTGTTTTTGCCAAACCACTTTAAAAAAAAATCAAGGCAAGGATAATGTTAAGTCCTAAATTCTACAGCAACCAAAATTCTACTCCAAATTGTGAAAATCAGAAATTATTCTTTCAATATTGTTTTGTCTTCTAAAGGTTCTCACATCAAGGCTAAATAAACTTTCAGTCCTATGCTCATGTTCAATTTAAACCCTTTCCAAGAACCAAAGGAAAATCCCCTCTTCTTACTTTTGAATCCAATGCAAAATAATTTAAATTAAACTGGTTTCCATTTGTTTATTCTCATATGATCCAATCCTGATAAGACTGTTGCTTTCGAAAAGCTGAAAAATTTACATTTTTTCAAACAATTATGAAGAGAATTAAAACATACAGGACTGAACAGCTCAATGACTGGCATCCAGCTTCTTCCCAAACACCTGTCACCACCACTGCCAGCCAAGGAAGACTGTGTGCAAAAAGACTGATGGTTTCTGGTGCCTTTTTCACCATTTTAATGAGTTCACTACTTCCTCCCAGCGACTCCAGTTTGCTCTGGTGGTTGTATTTTCACTGCTTGCAAGGCTGATAATTCTCATTTCAAAGGTGCAGAGTCAGTGTGGGAAGAAGACCAGTTTAATGAGTGAATTTTGATCTCTCTTTTAGGATGAAGAAGACAAACATTTACTCAGGAGAGAAAAAAAGCCAGTGCACACAAACCTATAAACCTTTCAAGGGCACAAATCCCAGGAAAAGGAAGCTTCTACTGAAATCATACACAGTAAAAAGGAGAAGGAGGACCTGATGTCTCCTCAAAATGTCTCTCAATAGGACTAGAGAGGAGCAGGAAGAAAATGCCTTATGTTCTACAATGATTTGCTGAATAACTTTATTTTTAAATCATTTCAAATTGTAAAGATGAATAAATATCAGTATGACATAATGTATCTGACTTGTATAAACAAGGAAAATATGACTAATATGACCTACCTCCATCTAAGGCAGAGTGACATCCTGTCCTGTCCTTTGCATCTGGGACCTAGTAATTATGGACTAGTGTAAACTTTAGCAAAAGCCTTAAAAATACTTGTTTTAAACTAAAAGAAGTTATTCATAATTGCACTTTAAGTTACAGTGCTTGAAATTACAGAGGACTTAATGACTCAACTTTTTCCATATTTCAGCAGTTCTAAGAAGGGCATTTTTCTTTTTTAGCAGGAGTTGAACAAAACCACTATTGACATTTAATAATGAATTCAAGTGTCACTCCTGAGGTCTTCACTTCCAGCATTAGTCTGTGTCAAATGTCTTCTAACAATGGACACTTGGAGAGATGAGAAACTCAAATCTTACCCAAAACCATGAGAAGAACCAGTTCCTCAAACACAAAGTAAACTTAGGAATGATGCTTAATGAAACTTAGGAGGAGCTGGTGAAGACTCATCCACCTGTTCAGAACATTTAAATACTTCACATCTCTGAAAGAATTTTGAAGTCCGTGGGACAAGTGAGTTCTATTTCACGGCAAACAGAACTGATATAATCCCACAGCAAAGCAACTTGAACACAGTCAGGATTTTACAAACCAGAATAATCTCTGGCACTGATGTTAAGGTCTGTGTAGGAAGCTTTCCAGCATCTGTTCCTCTGCATTTGGAAGTTAATTCAAAGAATCAGAAAGCAAATACTGTAAAATTTGCCTAAAGAGCACTGTAGAAAAACTTTCAAGAAATGATGACTAATTTAAAACAAAACAAAAATAAAACAGTTGCAAAATCATCCAAGGGCCAAAGCCACAGTACAGCATGAACAGTCTATTAAGATTATCAGTGCAGCACAAAGCAGGCTTTCAGCATCCCTTCACAGCTTCCCACAAGCCTAAGACAAAAGCTGAGGAAGGAGTAAATCCAAAAGATGTTATTTTGCTGTCAGATGTGCCCTATGACAAAAATGTGTGTTAGCAGGGAACTGCTCCTGAACTGGATGTTCACCAGCCCGCTGGAAGTGCAAGGAAAAAAGTTATTAAGGGAAATCAGCCAGGAGCATGGGACTCCAGCAGAATTCCTAGTAAGACTCTTGAAGTCATGAGCACTTCACCAGGCAGGAAACACTAATCTGAAACCAGATGAGAAATACCAGTCAGAATCACGAGACACAAAGAGACAGGACAATATTAAAGAGAAGATACACTTTTCTTTTTTTAACTGCTAAGCTCTCACTATGAATTCTGAATGGGACAAATGGGGCAACAATACTGAGCTGATTGTAACAGGATTTTCATGGCACAAGGATGGCTCACCACTGAGCAAAGAACTCAAACCCAACTGCACGCTGCAAGAAAATGAAGCCATGGACACACAGAGGTTATAAAAGACAAAAATCATGGTTTATGCAGCCCTTCAAAACTTAAGCTGCTTAAAAAATGAGTTTCTTTCACAGAGGTAATTTGAATAATTTTACTCAAGGATTTATTTAATAAGCACTTCCAAGAACAGGCAGCAGCAACTTCTTTGGGCACTGAGATTCTACTACTTCCATCAGCTGCAGCCTCGTTTCATCTCACTTTTAGAAAAGGAAGATAAATGCTGGGTAAAATTAAAGCAGAACTAGTACCAGCTTAGCAACATTTGTACTATAAACGTTTATCATTTACACCAAAATAATGGTTTGCAGTAAGAGTTATTTGTGTAAAATGCTGAGAAGGGTCACCCCGGTTCACCCAAAAGCACATTCCCAGAACTGAGTCCTGGGACACTGAGCAACTGCAATCCCAACTACAATCCCACAAAGTCCAGCAAGTGCTGCTATATTTATAAGCTTCCTCAGCCAGTAACACAGCGAGGAGTCTCTTGGTACCTTCGAGAAAAAGTCTCTTAAGGAGCTATAAATAAAAGCAGCTTTGTGTGGCACTGTTTTAATTGCTTTATACATGGGACACATCCAAGTTAGGTTAGGTTTAGGTTTAGGTTTCTATAACCTTTATCATTCCCACATTCTCTTTCACTTGCACATATTCGTAACTTAGGAATGAAATGCAGTCACACTGCAGGAGTAGAAGGATGCACATTTGGAGTGTCAAATTAACCCCTGAAACAGGAGCTGACAGGTGCAGAGTAGGAGAAGAGAGACTTCTTTTACAGAAGAAGATTTAACAGTGCTTTTTCATCATGGACTGGTGAATAACACACCCCCTACCAACATGTGTTCTGCAATAAATATTAAAACATGTTGCAAAGTAATTAGATTGGCTAAATTTAGCTCTTCTGAGCACTTAAGTGTTAGCTTTAAAAAATGACAAAATGAAGCTTAGAGGGTAAGTTGCAGTTCCTAAACATTTCTTGCAGAGGGAACAGACACTCAGCCCTGCAATTTGCACTCATCAGACACAGGCAGATTACTCATTTGATGCTCAGCCAGAAGAGAAAAATCTATAGTTGTCACCCAAACTAATTCCTAACTTTGCAACTAAATTTCATGTTTGGCCAACAAGAACATAACCACTGGCACATAACCACTGGTTTCAGGACAGGAGTGGGAATCCAAGAAATCTGGGCACGAATACACAGAGTTTAACTTGGACTTTCTGCCCTGCCTGATCTTTTCAATCGGTTTTTGAGAAAAGGTCTATGCTCAAAAATCCCTTCTGTTCTTGCCAGTGTACTCAGAAATTCTGGAATGAGAGGAAGGCTGACTTCTTGATTTCATATCATTAAGGTATTGAAGAGTGAACAATTTTTGGCAGTGGAACCTCAGCAGTCAGTAACACAATGCTGCACTGTTACAAAAAGGGATGCTCCAGGAGATAAAAAAATAACTTGTTTTCACAGAGAAATTCACCAAATTACCACCAGTGTCAGGTCACAAATTCTCTCATCTGTGCTTTTTAGAGTTTTCACATCGACATTCACTTTTATAAACAAGGTACTTTTATGACCCTGCCTGGCAGGGGGTTTGGAACTAAATGATCTTTCAGGTCCCTTCCAACCCAAACTGTGATTCTCTATCTCATGAAGATGAATACTGCAGATGTACTACAGAGATTACCCTGAAAGGGTTATAAAAAAAAAAAAAAGCCCTCCTCAATTTTAAAAGACTGGGAGTACCAGACAACTGGCTTCCTTCCTCTTTCTAACAGACAAGATGCTTGTTGTTCAAGCACTAAAAGCCCAGAGGCTGCAAAACCAACCTCAGAGGCAGGAAAAGCAGCAGCTTAGCTCTGAAGCCACAGTGTCACACACCTGAGGACACAGGTGCAGGGCACTGCACGTGCACATCACCCTAGAAATGGGAATGTGTGAGTGGGCACACACAGATACAGATACACACACAAATCCTGCTCAAATGCCACACAGGAATACATTCCCTTTAAGGCTGGAAGTGCCTATTTTTAGCTATTAGCAAGAAAGCTGAGTGGTTTTCCAAATCCTCCTCTTTGTGGACAAAACATTGGGCTTTGAGCTGGGTTTCCCCTGCAACGAGGAGAACAAAGGTTTTTTTCAATTATGGAATAATCAGCTTTAGCCAACTTCGCCACTAAAAATACAAGTGACCTCATAGAAGTGACTCAGGAATCGTGATTTAATTGGCATGTCACAGTAAAATTAGGAATTTAAGGACTCTGGAATAACCCTACAACACAGATACAGCCAAGGAGCAGTGAAGTCACCATGGTTCCTCCTTAATGCTCAGGATTTCCCTCTCTCCCTCTTCCTGCCACAGTGAAACATCAGGTCTCAGCAGCACAAGCTCAGGCACTAAACAATTCAGTGAAGGCAAGAACAGAATGAGGAAGAAATATTCAAGCATGGCCAGTTCTTTCCAAGGTGAGTAAACACATTTCTAGTTGAACATACTCCAGTAAAAGCCTCCACATCCAATAAAAGAGGATTATGCCAGACAGCAGCACAGCCATATTTCCACACAGCCCAAGCACCTCCAAACCCCACACTCTCCAAACACCACAAAATATTCCCTGGGGGCCCAGAGAACTTTACTCTACAATTTAGAGCCCTTCTGATGCCAACCAAAGAGGAAAACCAGAGGGTCAAACTGAGAATATGGCCTGGTTGTGCCCATGTGTGAGAGAGGATCTTTCCTACTGAGGTCATGAGGTTTTCTGTCACTTCTTATCTACAGTCTTCAGTGCACATTGACAAATAAATAATAAAAAAGAGCCCACTGAGCCAGGCTTTGTGCTCCTGTCCCTTGTCAGAGGTCACACTGAAACCAGCAGTGCTGCCCCCCGTTTATATCTTTGCAAACTTAAGCCCATTATAACCCACTGCCTCTCTTTAAATAGTTTTTATAGAGCAGGGTTCCCCTGCCCCCAGCAAACCACAGGGCCTCCGAGGTCTCTGCATGTTTTACTCACCACAGCAGTGCCTGTTTCTTCCAAGTTCTCAGAATATAAACTATTCTGCCTGGCCCCCCTCTCACAAATCTATTGACACAAGGTTCAAAATATAAATTGTTGCATAATACAGCCAGTAAATTCCCCAGGACACCTCGTTAACTTGGCCTCAGCCTTCACTAGGCCTCTCCATCTGTAATACCTTGACAATTTGGTTTGAGGGGATCCAGAACAACTTCCTCAGAAGCACCAAAAGGAATCTTAGTTTGAGAGAACACAATTATAACTGATTTTACTTAATAAACTAAGCTTCTTTCTCAAGAACACATTGCCTCCTTTTTTTTTTTTCCCTGGGGCTTCTGTCCTCAAATTTTAACCAACAAAACCAATAAATACAAGACCCAGAGAAGCACAGCACATTTCTTTCTTTTAAAGTTTTCGCAGAAATGGTTTCATCTTCTTTGCTGTTAGCTGACCACACAGAGAGAGCCTTTCAGGCACATCTGTGGCCAAATAAACCCAGAACAGTCTCCTATCAGAACTGCAACACTGGCACACAGAAAAACTCGTTAAAGACAACCACAGCGGGGGGAAGAAAACAGGCTTCTATTCTAAGAAGGACAGATTCAAAAGCACGACTTAAGAGTCAGATACACTGACAAAGGGACTTCGACCTGTGCAAAAGGCAAAGCAAGGGGGAGAAAAGCCCGGGGCACATAGAAACCTCTTTCGCATTGCTTTGAATTCACCCTGACAAAACCCAAGGCGCAAAACCAAGGCTGTACGGATGGAAAAGCTGAGCCCATCTCCGGCCCTGAATAATTAATTTAATCCAGCATTTTCAGCCTGGCGAGCCCGCTCACCCCTCCTCTGGCACCCGGCGGGCACCGATCGCCCCACGGCGGGGCAGGGAACAAAAGGCCGGCAGGGAAAAAGGGGCCGGCAGGGAAAGGGAAGGCAGGGAAGGGAAGGGGCCGGCAGGGAAGGGAGAGGCAGGGAAAGGGGGAGGCAAGGAAGGGGCCGGCAGCGCTTCCCGCAGCCCCGGGGGCTCCTCACGCACCCGGCGGCTCCGGGAGCGGGGAGTCATTTACGAGCCTCCAAACACCGAGCGGTCCCGGGGCCCCGGCGGGCTGAGGGGGTGACCCGGGGAGAGGCCGCGGCCGGGGGGTTTATGAGGCAGCCCCTCACAGCCCCTCACCTCTTCCATCTCGCGGGCCATGTCCTGCAGCTGCTCCTCGTCGTCCAGCAGCGCGCTGAGCTCCTGCAGGCTCAGCGCCTCCAGGCGCCGCACGTCCAGCGCCATCGCGGCCCCGATCCCGATCCCTCCCCGTTCCCGATCCCGATCCCGTTCCCGATCCCGGCCCCGCTCCCGCCTCACACCGGAAGTGCCGCCGCGCTCTCGCCCCGGCCCCGCGGGCACCGCCCTCAGCGCCCCCTGCTGGGGGGGCGGGGCGGACCGCGGGGGGCGGGCGGGGGACGGAACCAAACGGGGGTCGGGGGGGCAACGGGGAGCCCCTTTGAGGGGTGTGTGGGGTGAAACTCCTGTGAGGGGTTTCCGGGGTGAAGCCCCTGTTGGGGAGGGTCTGTGGTGTGACGCCCGGGTGAGGGGTTTCTGGGGCGAAGCCCCGCCAAGGGCACAGCGCAGCCCCTGGGGGCAAAGCCGGGCAGAGCCCCGCACAGAGCGAGCTTTGTGCGCCGCCTCATGTGATGCGCTCGAGGTCCTTGGAGTCCCGAGGGATCGCAGGGTCACGGTTAGGTTGGGAAAGACCTCTGAGATCATCGAGTCCAACCTGTGACCGATCCCCATCTTGTCAACCAGACCACGGCACTAACTGCCTTGTCCAGTCTTTCCATAAACACTTCCAGGGACAGTGACTCCACCACCTCCCTGGGCTGCCTATTCCAATACCTAATCACCCTTTCCATGAAGAAATTCCTCCTGATGTCCAACCTAAACCTCCCCTGGCACAATTTGAGGCCGTTTCCTCTTGTCCTGTCCCTTGTTCCTTGGGAGCAGAGCCCAACCCTCCCCCCGGCTGCCCCCTCCTGTCAGGGAGTTCAGAGACAGAGAAGGTCCCCCCTTCTCTGGAGAGAGCCTCCTTTTCTCCAGGCTGAGCCTCCCCAGCTCCCTCAGCCATTCCTGCTGCTCCAGACCCTTCCCCAGCTCCATTCCCTTCTCTGGACTCACTCCAGCACCTCAGTGTCCTTCCTGAAGCGAGTGGCCCAGAACCGGACACAGCACTCAAGGATGGCGGGTGCTGGGACAGCCGGGGGGTTGGACATCACCATCCCCACTGTTCCCAGTTCTCCTGCCTGGAAGTGTTGTAGGCACTCTTGTCCTCCCTTTGTTCAAAACTCCACAGCTGTAAATTCGGAAGGAAAATCAGTAGAATTCTTTAACTTGCATTTCCTTACCAGTTTGGGGCTTGGCTAGAGTACATCTCAATAGGGTGATTGTGTTATTGTTCTCAAGCCTAGGCTGAATTGCTATTTAGGTTAAAAATAGCTTAAAATCTTATATTGCCAAGTTTTGGTGCTAGGTCCTTTTGTCTGCATTAAGCACTTTCTTCTTCAAGAGCGAAGGCCAATAAATAATGTCAAAGATGTATTTCATGGTGAATTTAAATGCTTTTGAAATGTAATGTAGCAAAAACTGCATCAATTAAAACATCATACATTTTGTTCTTCTGATTTATATCAGTCAAGTCACCAGCTCTGTGTGGTAACCCTGAGGACCAGCAGCTCCCCAATTACTACTACTGTTAGCAGAGCTGATAAAGACAATTATGCCTGGAAACAATTAATTGTGTTAACAGAGCCTAACTTATATGCATCAGTGGCAGACACCACCTTCCTGGCCTGCTTTTGTACCTATGTGGGTGTGGGTGTGCTCATTTCCGTGTGTGTAACACCACAGAGAGCCAGAACGAGCACATGAGCCAAGGTAGCAGGGTACAGAATGGATATTTGGAGTGGATATTTTGATCTAACTAGAAAAAAAAGCCATATAGTGACTGAATCCATCACTGATGCAATGATGTTGCAATCACATTCAGGAAGGGGCCCAGCAGTTCCTGGCAGGACAGAGTGGTGATGTGACAGCTTTATGGCTGTTCTTTTGTCCTATAATTAAACTCGGTTCCCCACACCTCTCCCCCCACCCCAGAAGCCCTCTTTGTCATTATTATCCACAGGTAATAACGGCTAACAAGGTGACCCTGCTAGAGGAAGCCTTCCAGGCCTTCTGGCTGCTCACTCTACAGCCCTGATGCAAACAGAGTGTACTCAGAAGGATGTAAGAGCACAGAGTTTGTGCAGCAGGAAGCTGAGCTGAGCTTGCTGAGGGTGGGGAGAAGGTGATTAGAGATATGGGCATGCGTTCACTCATCCACCTGAACACACCTGCCTGTTGCAGGTATGTGCTGTGCTCCAGGTGAGTCAGCAGCTGTGCCCTCAGGCAGTGACATGGCTTTGCACAGTCACTACAGCCCGACCTGGTTATTTAAAACCAGCAGATAGTCACCCTGCCAACATGATACCACATACCCCGTATTTGCACATGCCCAGCAAACAGACAGTGTCACAGTTTTCTGTTAAACCTGTTGTAAATCTGTACATGCAAACACACATTTAGATACACACACAAACAGAGGGATTAGTTGAGGGATTAAAAGAAGTCCTTTCTTCCCAGGAACGTTGGTGATTTGAACTTCATACCACAGCTAAATAAATGGTTTGGGGGGAGTGTGGTTTAGAAGAGTCTGACTCAGCTTCGTGTTGTAAATCTAGTTTTACCACTGCCTTGCTGTGTGATCCTGAGTGGAGCTCTCAGCTTCTCTCAACTATGGTGCCTTTTACTTAAAAAGAGGAATAATAACTGCTCAGTTGCAGGTGAGAGTGGAGAGGAAAAGTTCACACTGAATAATATAAAAGTTCACACTGAACACACAGAGCTGTTGTGAGTGAGAATCTCTGGTGGAGGGCACTACAGAGTGATAATAATTGTATTGTCAATATGCTGTTGGGAAAGATGGTTTAGAGTCACCTAAGGAGCTTTTCTTTAATTTTTGCTAATGTTGCATAGGGTTGGTGGAAGTTTACTGCTCTGGACATCAAAGACTGGATTATTTGAATTAGCCAATGCTAATCTGTATTAAAATTAGAAGCTCCATAATGCAGAACAACGAAGTTCTCCCAAAATGCACTGGAAGAACATAACTCATTTGTGCTCAAGTACAACATACACTGAAAATCCCACTTCTTCCTGTGTAGATAATTTGGGTTCTGGGGATTTTGGAGAGGAGTCTACATTAAAAACCTGGTCTGCTTTCAAGGACTTTGATCAGCAACCGCATGTGATTGAGTTCTCCAGTTGTCTAGAAAAGGAGCTGAGGTTGAGCCAAGATAGGGTTCAGCTGCTTTTATATAATTATATTTTCTATTTGGACAGATAGGAGAGTGCCTTCCCATTCCCCAGTCTTCATGAAACATAAAGGTTTTGTGACAGCACATCACTTGGACAGAATATGAAGGATTGCAGATTTAAAGCAGGATTTTGGACTACAGGGATTATCAAATATTGCAGTGCTGCAGGCTGAGATTTATCATCTCTCCAGCCCTAGTTCCTATTTGCCTTTGCTGAAATTCTTTTGAAGGGTGACAGCATTCAAGAACATTAAAATTGTAAGCAGACAAAGTACAGAAGTCAAGATTTCTTATTACAGGAGAAATTGAATTAAAAAATTGGGAAGATTACAGTGGAAACCATGTCATGGTGAATAAGGACTCAGGTTTCAGTCTTGGGGAGAACTAGCATCCAAACTAGTTTAAATAGGATGTTAGATTTTTTTTCCTATTTAAACTTGCTCTTGGATTTCTTTCTGCTACCTCATATCCTTTTATGGTCAGTAGCACTGTACTCATGCATATTTATTAGATTCAGACATATTTTACAAGTCACCTTCACAACTTATTTTCTTTTCCTGGAAAAACTGGTTGGTTACATACACATTGAATTTGCAAATCTAATCTTTGGTGCATATTAACCCCTATTAGTCTGGTTGCTTAATGTACAGATAAGTTTTCAGGCTTATTTGCAATTTAACTTCCTTCTATATAATAATTACAGCCCATAATTCTGTTTAGATTTCACAATCCAGATTCCCTCACACATGGAAATGACCTGCATATTCAGCATTCTGGGAGAGAAACAGCCCTCCTGTTTGAGAGATCTGCTGTCTGAGAGAGAGCAGGAATTAAGTGTTTGTGCTGTACTCCTTCCTTTCAGGGAGCTACAGGTGGGAGGAGCAGGTTGAGGTACCTGCACATATTTGCTTTGCCTTAAGCTCACAGTGAAGCTGGAGTAGAAGAGGCAGATACTATTTTTCCACCCCAGACTAAGACACGTCTCTGAACCTAAGCTAGAAACACTCTGTCTGTTTGCTTGTGGTATTTCCAGACCTGCTGAAGGCCTAGAAAGCTCAGCCACTGACACACACACAGTTGCTTATTGAGGCAGAGGTTGGTGTGCCAGGGGACAAGTTGTTGGAATAAACACAGCTGTGTTTTTTCCATCACCGTGTTCTCATTTACTGTGTCAGTCAGCCACAGACCCTGCCTGTGCAAAGGTAAATACATATCCCAGGGGAATCGCTGGGACTGTAGGATCTGCTCTTGAATTTCATCTTGGATAGTGTTCTCTGATGTTTAAATCAAATAAAGCTGTGGTTATGCCTATTACAGGGAATGGTTAGAGCTTATTAATAGTGAGGAAAACAACCTGCCACAGAATGTACAGTCAACCTTTGCAATCAATTGTGCTTTCAAATTGTTTGCAGTTCTGCCATGACAGTCTTCAAGCTGTGCCCCCAAATTAAGGTTTCAGATGAACTTGTGCAAGTTCCCTGTGAAGACTCTTCCCTTTGAGAAGAAACTTTTTATCTCTAGAAGAGATAGGGAGAAGCTCTTGAACTGATTTTGTTTATGTTCCCCTGTAAATGTCAACTCTGGGCAAAGCCACAGCCACAAAATACTACAGTTTAGGGTTTCAGAGGGAACAGTGGCTGTGTTTCCAGAAGAGCCTGAAACACAGACTGCCCACAGGCAGCCAGGCCCAAGGGACTGGGCAGCTCCAGGAAGCAGCTCATGTTCCAGCACTGGAGCAATTCCCACTCCTGCACTGGGGGAAGCACATCTTTACTGCCAGGTTTAGTCTCGCTAATGGGCATCTCTGACCCTGATTTTCACTTCAAAAAGAAGTCATAGTAGGAATGATTTAGAAAAGCAGGATTTTCTCTACAGTTTCAGGGTTTGTACTTGGCCAGCAGAAATATCTGCATTAGGTTAGTGCTGCTGGATCCCCAGTGGTGTGTGGAGCTCCCGCCCATCTTCCAAAGCCATAAGAAAACCCTCATGGCTTTAGCACACAGGCAGATCCACTTGTCACACACCAACAGCGCCATAAAAGGACCTGTTTGTGCCACCAGATGAGAGGCTCAATGGAAAAGTAGCCTTGAGTTCTGTGGATGCAGAAGAAAGAATTCATCACCTGTGGCAATGAACAAAGTCAGGCCCTGTTATCAGCTTGGACTGGTGCCACCAGCAGAGACAATCTGCTGTTTCCAATGTGTCATTTCAGTTGTTGCTGTTTGGACCTGACCTGGGAATACAATGCTGGGATTATCCTCACAACAGGCTTGGGGAGCAGGGTTCCCTTTCTGAAATTCACTGTAGTCTTTGCAATAAAACGAATCTGTATGCTCCAGTTCCCTTTTTGCAGCACTGTCTGGGAGGGACACACAGGATACAATCAAATTCTCTTTCCTGGCATCTCCTGTACTAATGAGCATTGTCCTACCAGCACTTCCTAGGGTGAGTTGGCTTCCCTAGTTCCCAGGTAATCAAATTTGTTTTTTCCCCCGAGTTTTTCAATTAAGCAGAAATTAATTCCACTTCCACAAACCGGTGGCCACATTCTCCTCCCAGGTACTGATAAAAATGCACAATTAATCACTTGCCTGCCAGCACTGGGTGAAACCCCCAACCTCCTCATACCCACAGCACAAATTTTCATCAAGCAGGAACACATGGCCATTTACTGAAGGGGTGAATTGAGGAGTTCAGAGTGGCACAGAGATTTCCTAAGCAGAGGGAGGGAAGACAAAAAGACATCTTGTTCTTCTTCTGAGGCACAGATTTTTATCATATCACAAAAGCAAGCAGCTGAAAAGATTCCAGTCATGAAGTGCTGTGCTTTGAGAATGGGTTAGACTGCCTGTCCTTCCATGTGAGACTGACTCTGAAGGGGATCTGGGATGAAAACGAGTTATTCAATGGGTTATACCAACTGCTGGGCTCACAGTCATTATCAGATACTGAAGTCTTTTACATACCTTGTTCTCTGCAGGTTCCTCTTGTCATTCCCTGCAAGGGAGCCAGAACACGTGTGGGGTGCACCTGCATTCAGCCGTGGTCTCAGATGAACATCACCTTGAAAATCCAGAATACAGAAAACCACCCCCACTACAGGAGCTCAACGTTGAGTGGCAGAGGTAGTATTTTATTCTTTGAGCATCCCTCCTCAAGGACACTAAATTTAGAGTTTGTAAAACATCACTAAATGAAAACAAAACATCGCCAATAACAAAAATGCAAACCCGCTGAAAATGAAAATGCAGCAGCATTCAAGTATCAGAAAACATGAGAGCTAAAGTGCTTGAGAGAATTTCTTAACTATGCAGAGTCTGAAGTCAGTGTTCCCCTAGAAATGCTATTTTTTTCAACAGTATCTACCTGGCTGCATAGGATTTTTCACCGGTCTATAGCAGGGCAACACTACAAAGCCAGAGCCATTACCCCAAAGGGCTAGGAGTAACACATTTCTTTCTATCCCTCATACTAAAATAAATTATAGTCAAAGAAACACATTATAAAGTTCAGGCAGCTGAAGTTGGACTTCAAGGAAAGTGACTGTACCGATTTCCCATGCAGTGAAGTTGCTGGCATGGCCTGAAGCTGAACAAAGCTTTGGTGGGATTTATAAAGTGCTGTCTTTTAGTGTTTTATGCCTGTCTTCAGCAGTGTTTTTCTCAAACCAGCACCAGGGTTGTGAGTTAAAAAAAAATTCTGAGATAACAGACCAATTTTCAGTGGATGCTGGAGCCAGACAGACATTGCACAGTGCATACAAATTACATTAAAAAACAACAAACAAATCGAACCAAAAAACCCCAAGCCCCAAAACCTAACCCAGTTATGGTAAAATGTTTCATCCTTAAAAACAAACACCCACCAAGCACCAAGAGCAAATCTGAAAGTAATATCTGCCTCCAGTCCCCTGGCTTGTCCCAGCAAGGGTGGATAATACATGATACAAGCTCAGCAGCAATGGTTGGGAGCCTGAGCCTGCAGGCACTCAGTGCAAAACTCTCCCGGCATTCAGCTCCATGGGAGTGATCCAGTTTTTGCCAAAGCCAAAGGGAACTCCCTGAAGACTTCAGCCAACTTTGGATTAGCCCCATAGATTGATAGCGGGAGCAGGACCTTGTTTTACAGTCACGGTTTTTTTCTATCCAGCCACAAAAGCCACCCCCTGAAATTCCTGAAGGGGTTTCCAACCTTCCCCTCCACGCATGCATTTAACATCCATTACAGTTAATAGCAGTTACACATGCATATCAATGGGAGAAAAGTCCCAGTCAAGAGGAATTACTGGTAGTAAGAAAAGAAACCCAGTAGAAACTGAGAAGAAGCTGAGTAGAAGCTGAGAATTGCTAAAGACCCAGCTCCCTCGGGTTTTCCCTGTTTTCCCAGCTGGCACAGACTGCGCTGCAGGAAGCTCTATGGTGTGTCTGGGTCTGTGGTGTGTGTTTGGGTGTGTGACACGCGGGGTGAGGGCACGGTGTGTTCTGCAGGGCACCAACCGCCTCCATCTCAGCGTCCAGGGAGCGTCCGAGCCTCCGGCCCCTCACTTGTGGGCCGTGCTGTTGTAATCGTCCTGTGCCACGGCAGGCAGGGAATGGTCTATCCTGAACTCTTCCTCCTTGGAAGAATCCCCCCGGGCTGCAGGCTGGCGACTGTCCGTGCCGCCCCCCTCCAGCCCCAGGATCTGTCTCTGGACCAGCTTGGAATAAAGGCCTCCTTCTTCCATCAGCTCCTTGTGCGAGCCCTGCTGCACCACGCGGCCCTTGTCCAGCACAATGATGTTGTGTGCCCTCTCCACAGTGCTCAGCCTGTGAGCGATGACAAGCACCGTGTGGTTCTGCAAGTCGCCGTAAATTGCCTGCTGAATCTGTGGGGAGAAAAGGCGTTAGTGCCTGAGCAGCACTGGCTCTGCTGCGGGAGAACAGCAGCTTTGTGGTCTGTGTTCAGAAACCTCTGGACAGGAGGTTTGCTCTGTGGCCACGCAGAGGACACAGAGCTCCCTGCAGCACTGCCAGAACCAGCGCGTCCATCTCAGCTCCCGGCTGCAGCCCAAAAGGCCGTGTCAGTCCTGCCAGGTGTGCTGTGCACACAGGTCTGATCCTGCCAGCTGGGTCCTTGTTAGAACTGGGCCCCAGATTTGGAGGCCATGTGGTGCTGGCATGGACTGCAGGAAGCTGATCCCTGGTAAATGCAGCTGTTCAGAAAAGTGAGGCTATTTCCTCAGCGTATCAAGGCAAAGCAAAAGAGTTCTTTTCCAGCTTACATACAATGGCACTGAAGTCTAAAGGCAGGCAGGTTGGCACTGGGCACATGTCACACTGATACCCCTGGGTAGCCAAAAACCAGTCCTGGGCTGGCATCAGACACCACATACGTCTGAGGACCTGTGAGCTGCTCCAGGTCAGATGCTCACGCTGCCCCACACCATGGGTCAGCAGCACTTGTCCTCCAGGACCGGGAGACACATCCTTAAACCCCAGCCTTGAACAGGCCTTCCCTTGTGTCATTACGTCAGTGAGGCCAAACTGCTGCTGGTAGAGCTGTTTGGTTGTCACATCCCAGCTGGATGGTGGGATGTGTTCACAGGAAGCTCAGAGCCCAGTTCACAGGAAGCTCAGGGCCTTTCCTGTACATGTGGCTTCCTTGGTGCCTCGGCTGGGATTTGAGTTTAGGGAGTCCTACTGTCCTTGCTACAGCATCATTTTTTAGGGTCTTCCTCTGTATCCTGCCCTAAAAGGCTGCACAGAGTCTCTGTATGCCAATTAACACTTTCCACATTTAAAAAAATCAGCAGAGAACCCTGTATCTCATCAAGTTTGTCAGGCATTGGCTGCTGTGAGCATGAGATTATTCCCTTCTTGGTGACTACAACAATGTTGGAAGCAAATTCCTGCTAAGGAATTAGCATCTTACTCCACCCTCTGACTGCACCATGTCAAGACTAAGCTTGTCCACAGGCTGGAAATTGAAGCTACAGTCTTTCCTCCAAACCCAGACTGTCTCTTTGGCCCAAACATCCCAGTCACCCACTCACCGCGTGTTCGCTCTCTGCATCCAGCGCGCTCGTGGCTTCATCCAGGATTAGGATGGGAGGGGCTCGGATCAAGGCCCTGGCAATTGCCACTCTCTGCTTCTGGCCACCTGACAGCTGAGCCCCTTTCTCACCTGCTTCTGTTGGGTCAAGAGAGAGAAGAAGGGGTCAAAACAAAAACCAAGTTCAGCTGCCAGGCACCGCGTTGGGATGGAGCTGTGACGACTTTGGTACCTGTGTGGTAGCCGTCCTGGAGCTCCGTGATGAAGGTGTGTGCATTGGCCTTCTGGGCAGCCTGAACCACTGACTCGAAGGAGGCTGAAGTTAAGCCATATGAAATATTATCTGCAATGGAGCGGGCAAACAGCACGGGCTCCTGGCTCACCAGGGAGATCTGCAGAAAGGAAGGGAAGAGCAGGGCGTCAGGAGCAGGAGACGCACCGCGCAGCATCGGCATTTCTCCCTGTTGAGTAAGGACCAAGATAAAGATATAGAAGAGCCATTAACCAAGATATAGAAGTGCCTCAATGTGAGGATGCTAATGATGGGGTGCCCAGTTTGCATCACCTGCTGGGAAGTCATTTTGCAGGGAAGAAACTTTGTGCAATGGTGGTACGTTGGCACTTGGGATGGGCTTCCCCCTTCAAGACCCTGCTGTGTTTTTGATCCAGACCTGTCCTTCCTGTCACTGTTTGCTCTTTCCAAAATGGAAAACCAGTTGCTGGGACAAATCAGGCTGGAGAGATCCACTCCCAGGCTCTTGCAGGCCATTGATCCTGCTTGGGCCATGTGAATGAGCCCTCTTGAATTTTTTAATCCCAAATTAGCAAATTTGGGACATAACTGCTGCAATTCATTAATTGCTTAGCAACAGCCTCTCTGTCCTGCCTTACAGCCATTGCAGCTCACTCTCATATTCAGTCTGCTTTAGCAAACCCTTGATATTGGAATAAATCAAACCCTCCAAACTATTGCTCAGAACTGGGCAGGAAAAGAGCCAGGGGGACACGGTCATATTTTAATTGACTTCTCCCCATGCCCCTAACACCACACCAGGCTTTCCAAACTGAAAGATTAGCTCGTCTTTTGATTTTCCCTCTGTACGGGCAGGGAATGTAAATTAGTCACACTGACTTTGGCTTTCCAGCCTGTCTCTGATCAATTGTTTTCAGGTTTTCCTGCTGACTGGTGAGGCCATTTGCTCTGGGGGCAAACAAAGGAGGCAGTTACTTGCAGAGATGAAGGCTGATCTGTGCTGACACACAGGCCAGAGCTGAGGGGCCCGGACCCCTCTCCAAGGCAAACCACCCAGCCCCTCTGGTGCTCCAGCTGCTGCCAGGATCCCAAGAGGTTTAACTCCCCCTGAGCTGAGAATTACTTTAAGATCTTAAAGGTAGAAAGCGCTGGAGGAATGCAAAAACTCTTTTCCCAAACCCAATTTAGATGATAATTAATCCAACAACCAAAAACATATTTCTACTGCATCGGCCAAAAAATATAAAACAAACCATGTTTTTTGTTCTGTTTTTGGAAGGCTTCCCCCTCCCCATGAAACCACTCCATCCCTTTTGCTTCCACCCCCACAAATTATCTGAATTCGCTTCCTGGACCACCTCCAGCCTCCAGCTTTCTGGACACTTCAGAAGTTGGCAGATCAAATCCAAAGCAACATGCAGCACTGCCATCCATCCCCTCTGAGCACGGGTGTAGCTAAAATACACGTATCAGTCGCTCGTACCACGGAGTGCAGGTACTTGTGATCGTACATGTTAATGGGACGCCCGTCCAGCAGCACCTGCCCGTCTTGCAGAGGGTAGAAGTTCTCCAGGATGTTGACACAGGAGCTCTTCCCACTCCCTGAAGGACCCACCAGTGCCGTCACTTTGCCAGGGTGGAGGGTGAAGGACACGTTCTGCAACATGGATGGGAGAGCGTGCTCAGGTCTGGGCTCTTCCCAGGCTCCTGGGGCAGCAGTTTGGCCACTACACTAGAAAAGTAGCCAAAATCTGGCCACGGTGACCCTCTACCTCGGTGATGTGCCACATCAGCCATTTCTCCTGGCTCTGAGGAAGCAAAAAGCCTCCAAATTGCATCAAATTCGCCTGCTGATGTAGCAGGTCCTCTAAAAACTGCAAAGCAAACTAACCTCTTTGCTGCCTCCCCCTTCCCATGATCCCAGCTCCTCTCCCACGGAAACAGTCCGAGGCAGCTTGGCACAGAGCCCTGTACCACGCTGACATGTTTAATGCCTGAGCGGGGAACAAGGGCTTTATTGATAAATCTCATTCCTTGTAAGGAAGGCTGGCCCGAAACACCCGCTGTTCCTTTTAAGCTGTTTTCCAGCATGTGTTGAGCCTGCCTTGACGTATCTCCATCAGGCAGCTGACACTTCCCAAGGGCTGGGGATCAGTTATGGCCGTGGCGGAGAAGCAGCACGTGGTGGGAGCGCGCGGCGCCCGCGGGGCTCACCTGGAGGACCTGCGTCGCGGAGCGAGTGCGGTAGGAAAACGTCACGTTCCTGAACTCCACCTTGCCATCCACGTGATCCGGGGCCAGGGACCCGTCATGCACCATCGTGGGCTTGCGGTCGATGAACTCAAACACCTTCTCAGCAGCTCCCACCCCCTGCATCAGCCCGCTGTACACGGAGCCGATGGACTGGAAGGGAAGGGGGCAACAGTGAGACCCATGTGATGGAGAAGTCAGTCAGTGCTACTGGTAAGGAGAAAGGTTGAAGCATTCCCAAGTCTTCTCTCACCTCACATTGACTACAGTCATCAGACATAGCAAAAGAAAACTCTTCCTCCTCTGCAGGATATGGAGGGGATATATGGGCAATCCAGGGAAAAGGACATCTAAGGGGGTTTTGTGCATGGGCACACTGGGAGGGTAACAGAAGAAGGAAACACATGGGTTGGGAAGAGAAGACGTGTGCTGGGAGATACATGACCCAAACTTCAACAAAATCCTCCCCTCATCTCTTTTTGCTCAAGACTGGCAGCTCCCTAGTGCAATGGCTGAACAGAGTTCACAGACCAGCCCCCAGAGGGTTCTGCTCCTTCCCCAGCACACATCTCAAGTGCAGAGCAGCTCCAGGCTAGGCTCTTCTAGACAAGTGCCTGGCAGCTGGTAAGGCTGGAATATGGTCCTAGGGGATTCACCATCACCGTCTCCCAACTACAACTTCTGCATGCTGACACTGGCTTCCCTGGAATAAACCCCACGTTGGAAATTTCAATATTAAACCCAGAGCTGCAGAACAGTTTGTACTGCAACTGCCCCTCCCATCGGGAGGGGGAAAAAAAACCAGACCAAATGAAATCCACACCAAAGCCACAGCCTGACAGCACCTCCAGAGCCTGCAGGCTTCCAAACAGATGGTGAGAGCTGGGTGAGCTGCCTCCAGCTCTGCTCTGCCCCTACACAGAGGCTGAAGCACCACCAAAACCACTCTTGGCTGTGAGGAAACCTCAACTGGATCATTTCTGCCTGGATTAGCTAAGCTTACGCCTCTGTGAGGGGAAGGCAGCCCTGGGTGGGCTCTACCATCCCACCCACAGTCCCATCTTGCTAAAGCTCTGCCAGCGCAGCAGCTTGCAGCCTATTCCAGGGACAGGGAAAAAAAAGTAATATAATTAAGTTTTTAATGAAGCCTGAAATATAACAGGCAGCTTTGTAATCCCTGCATCCTTCATGCCAGGAAATGGGGTTGGGAGGCAGCCAGGACTCTGCCCTTCAGCAGGGCCAGCCTGACCCCTCTGGTCCCAGCTGCCTTTTTGGGGGACAAGCTGCTTCAGGAACATTAAGGTGGTGAGGCCACAGCAGGAGAGGAATGGGGAGCAGAGGGGAGAATCCCCACTCTGGTGATGCCAGAGCACCAAGGAAATGTGTCACAGGTCTGGATCTAGACCTGCAACTGCCCTGGGACCTTCTGAGACAAACATCAGCTTGACATGGAGTAGCCCAGAGGGTGGTAAGGCCCTGGCACAGGTTGCCCAGAGAAGCTGTGGCTGCCCCATCCCTCCAAGTGTTCAAGGCCAGGTTGGACAGGGTTTGGAGCAACCTGGGATAGTAGAAGGTGTCCCTGCCTGCGGCAGGGAGTTTGTAATTAGATGAGCTTTAGGGTCCCTTCCAACCCAAACCATTCCATGATTCTGTGAAAAAACAGACTCACCTCCATGCAATCTCCCAAGACAAACTCGTAAATGATGAAGGATATCAGGTTTCCACTTGTCATTTGCCCTGAGATCACGAGGTGCCCGCCGTAGTAAAGGATGCTGACCTGGACCACCAGGAGGGTCAGCTGAAAGCAAGAAAACACCCCCAAATCAGCAGGGACAACTGATATTTTGGTGTGTTTGTAATTACTCACACAACAGCCCATGATTCACATGCTAACATTTATTCTTTGAGCCCTGAGCTGAGGATCCCTGACAGCACAGCTGACAACCCTAAGCAATGAGTATGTATATGAGAAGGGAGAAACAACTCAAGTACAAAGGCTGATTTAGGGAGCTGGGCTGGCATCTTTCAACAAAACAGAAGTCCAGAGGGATAACAGCCAAGGAGGGAGAATTTATCTGAAATAACAGAGTATCTCATGAACTTCTCTCTTGGACTAAGGTCCTCAAGGATAATAATCAACGCTCAAATTATCCAAGGAATGCACTCACCTCACCGCTAAAATAAACCTTCTCTTATATGAGCATGACACACTTTTAATTTAGAACACAAAATCAAGCCAAGAGTTAATGCAGAACTATCCTCCTTGTGTGTACAAGTCCCTGAAGGATAACCTCAGCTCTCGTCTGAAATCAGTGGGGGGGTTCCACCTACTCTAGAAGGGAGACAGATGAGCTCTCATATGACAAATACCAGCCCCTGCTTTTATTCAGCTGGTTTTGTTCCATCTGCCCGGGCACTCCGAAAAGCAGCGATGCCCTGGTGCCCTGTGTGACATTTGCAGCACAGGCTGTAAATTCACACAGATAAAAATACTGGGGAAAAAAATTCCTTTCTCCATGAGGTGACCTTAGGATCCTGTGTTCCCTCCAAGAAAGACTTTACCAGGGCTGTGTTAAATCCATCAGCTTCTTTCTATGTGAGCCCTGCAGCAGCAGTTTTTGAGGGGTTTTGCCGCCTTAGCCTTGTCAGGATCTGTGCTGACCCAGTTCACGCTCTGGCTTCACCTGGAGCCCAGAAACAATGCCAATAATGCTCCAATTTTGCTTCCAGACTTGGGAAGCCATAAAGCCTCCCACAGCTGCATGAGAGCACCATAACTCACAAACCCATCATCAGAGACTACTTCCATCCTTGAACGTGCAGAGATAAGGGCAGCCTCACACGGGGATTTTGCACAGCCTTAGTTAACAGCCAGTGCAGGAGAAGTCCCAAACCATCTGGTCTTGAATGGTGAAAAAGCATTTTGCAGGGAAAAAAAAAAGCCCAAAGCCAAAGCCCAGCAGCCTCCCCCTGCCACCACCCACACGCGGAGAAGCTCCAATCCCGAGCAGGAGCTCAACCAACGCGGCGGCTGTTCCCAGCCGGAGCCCCGGGGATGAGCTGGCACAGGAACGCAATGCAGCACCACCGAGCCACGGGCTTTTCCACGACCTTGAGCACTTTATCAATTATATTCCCATTTCCAGGAGAAAACAGGCAGGTCGGTGGAACAACACAACGCTGCCCCGAGGTGGAAGGGGATATAATTTTTTGATGTGTGAAAATAATAATAACAAAGAGACAGAGGATCGCTGGAGGTGGATCCCTGAAAGCGGAGGAGAACCACGTGCACGTGCCACGTGCATTCTGGGATCTGAAGCAACTCTCCTGCCCATCCCAAGCCCCGTGTAGGGAACACCTACCCCGCTGGACCAGACATAGTAGGTGTAAGCCAAGGCCTCCCTCTTGTTGAGCTTGTAAACCTGCTGCAGCTTCTGCCAGTACACGTTCGCCTCCGTCTCCTCGTTGGCGAAACTGCGGACGGTCTTCATGGCAGAGATGGTCTCCTCGGCCGTGTTGTTGGCCTTGGCCAGGGCGCTCTGCACATCCTTGGAGAGCTTCTGCAGGGAGCAAGGGGAGGCAGAAGGGGCTCAGCAGGTGCCAGGATGCCCATGACAAATCTCCCTGCTTGCCCCAGGCTCTGCTGGGCTCGGGAAAAGGCAGCACAGTGACATTTTTCAAGGCCATGGGCAAGAAGGATGAGCACTGGGATATATCCCACACTTCAGAACCTGGAATGTGTCAGGAGGAGAGCAGATTCATTGTGCTCTCCCCAAGGCATCTGGGCTGCAGGAGGTAAAGTGCCATGTCCAGGGCCACTTGGGAAGCCTGGCAGAGCTGCTGCTCCCAGTGTCCTGAAGGGCTCTGGCCCAGGAACTCTTCCAAGGAGTTTCCAAGTCAGGGACAGGTCTGGAGACTTCATATCCACTCCTCCCACGAGTGCTGGTCCCATGAAGGGGCCATGCCTGGGTGAGGCAGTACCTGAGGACTGTTTTGGCAGTACCTGTGCACAGTGGAAAGCACCGACAGCTGACACAGGGAGCAGCAGTGCAGGACTCACATGGTCCATGGGACATGGCATTGGCCAAGGGGGACAGTTCTTGGCCCACACCAGTCCCAGGCAGAGGGAGGGAGCTCAGCACTGCATTAACTCCCACCAAGTCACTCCAAAAGAAAGGAAAGGTTGCACGAGGATAGGCAGGTGCACACAGGACATCCTACAGCCAAACCCCCTCTCCTGTCAGATCTGAGATGCTTCCACTCCTGAGCATGAAGCAAGGTAAGAGCCCAGGCTATGCCTGTCTGCCCACACAAATTTAATGCTGCCTTCCTGCTCCCACTGCTGGCAGCAAAGCACTCCAGCATCACTCCCACCAGCTCCAAATCCACCCACAGCCTCCATGACAGCCTCACAGTGGGGAACAGCCCAGAGTTGTGACACACCATGGCAATGCCAGCTGCTCCTGCCTACCTGGTAGTACTTCCCATAGACATCAGACACCAGCATGATGATGGGGAAGCCCATGAAGGTGACGAGTGAGAGCTTCCAGGAGAGGCTGAACATGAAGAAGATCACCCCTGTGGCCTTCACCACATTGCGCAGGAAGATGTTGATGTTCTGGGAGACCAAGTCACTCACGATGGTAGTGTCCGACGTCAGGCGGGAGATGACGTCCCCTGCAGCAGCGAGGGGTTGGGGAAAGGGGAGAGAGGGGACGTGTCATCACCGTAGGTCACTGCCTCACTGGTCCCATGTCCCCTGCCAGGGGCCAGATGGAGCTCCCCATTCAACCAGCCCCTCACTGGGGGTCTGAAGGGTGGCACGGAAGGGGAGCAACCCTCCACTGCTGTGGATGCGAAGCAGAACACAGGAGCTGCATGCACAAGGGACAGGAAATGCACCTGAAGGCACATCCCTGGGTCACCAAGGATGGCTGCAGGACAGCAACGGGGACTTTGGTAGCACCCTGTGCTGGAGAGCACCCTGTGGGCAGGCAGATGGGCAGCAGGTCATCCTGCCCTCTTGGCAGGACCAGCCAGGGCCAGGCTCAGGGCGCCCTGTGGAGCACGATGGGGCTTTGGAGATGGCTGTTTGGGTTTAGCCATGTGCCCCACAGCCTGGAGTTGACCCAAGGGACCTGAGGACATGGGTCCAGCTACTAAGGGGTGAAGCTCTGGTGATGCCTTTTGGTGGAGCTGAGTGTTACAGCCAGCCTGAGTTCCTAAATACTTGGCCTGTGTTTGAGTCCAGCTGAATTCCCATGCTTTTGTGTAAGTCCAGGGTTACCCATATCCCACTTACAATAACATCTCTGCTGTCCTCAGCTATCAAAGCACTTTGCAGTCACTGCTAAATATGGCAACAGCCTCAAAACTAAAAATACCGCTGAGACAAAATTAAATGTGTGAAAGTTACAGTGGGCTGGGACCACACCAGAGTGGCATGGCCTGGGACAGCACTGAACTTCGAGCAGGGAAAGCAACAAGCACACCCAGCAAGCTTCACACATCCAAGGTTTTCGGTGCCTGGAGCAGAGCTGGAGAGTGGCTGACTAGGAGAGACTGACTGAGGTACAGGAGGAGGAAAGTAGGTGTTTTGGGGATGACTGGAGATGAGCATGTCAGCCCCAGGACTGCTGGATATCAGGCTGATCATGGCAATGGGATATCCCCAGGGTGCTGTCCCAGCCCCACAGTGGGAAGCAACCAAAAGGGAAGAGCTTTCTGCCTCTATTTCTAAACACGAGCACTCGGGTGCTGCCTCTGGCTGCCCATGATCTGCTGCACGCGGGTTGGGCAAGCCAAGGGCAAAAATTCCAGGACGGAATAGAGGGGTTAGAGCAAATCCAGAGGGGAGAGAGGAACCAACCTGTGCGATTCTCATCAAAGAAACTCATCTCCTGAGACACCAGCGACCTGAAGAGGCAGTTGCGAAGGCGGATGTTCAGCCTTGCAAATATGAGCGTGAAAACGCCGCCCCGGATACCTGCGGCAAATGAGCTAATTGCAGATAAGAAACGTTATAGACCAGTGGACACGAGACCGCTCTCAGCAACACACACGCCCCCACGCCGGGCCAAGGGCTTGGGCAGTGCTGTGCTGGCACCACTTGGCACCTGGGGAAGCCACAGCTAAACCAGCCCACACCCCTCCTGGGTGCCACCAGCACAGCGGTAGCTGGTCCTAACCCTGGGAGTGATGAGCTCTGGGAGGGAACACAGAGCTGCCGGGACAGCATTCCCCAGCGTGAAGTGAGATAACACACAGGTACCCCTGAAATGCCAGGCAGTGGGAGGACTGTAGGAAAATTTATTTACAAAGTGGAGAACACTGGACTTACAAAATGTTAATCTTAATGGTGTTTCGAACACCAGGTCCTGGGGAAAGACACGACCCCTGTTCTTCTCAGGGCTTTTACCATCCCTGGCCCCCCCTCTGTGGGGCCTTCACGCACGTCTGCAAAGACTTATCTTCTTCTCATACCAGAGAGAGTTTCTCTGGAATGCAGGAGGAGAAAACAGCTAAAACTGCCTCAAGGGAAAGATGCCTCTTCCAGGCAGGAAAGCTTTCTTAAGCGAAAAACCCTAATGTTCTCATAGTAAAATCTTCCAGAAGGGTCTTCTACTCTTACACCTGGGGAATTCATTCCCTGTTCTCTCTGTCTGTTCTTGCTCCCCCACCACCAGTAGATGGACAGAAAGAGCTACACAAAGGCCTTGTGACTGGCCTCTCTGTGCCGTGACAGTGCAGACACATCGAAGTGCACCCCTGGGGTCTGGTAGCAGCATGGTGGAGTGGCTGCCTGTGCCCACCACCACCACAAGCGCCTGTGGGAAAACCCCAAACTCCTCCTTGTCATGGTCAGACCCAGCCCCTGCGATTACCTTCCTATAGCGAGCAGCGACATGACCAGCACTGCCGTGGAGAACCGGTCCATGCTCTTCTGCACCACGATGCCGTCAATGGCCAGCCCCGTGTAATAGGGCAGGAAGGTCTCTCCTGCCAGACAAGCACAGGACATGGAGATTCAGCCCCACTGCAGCACAGGACTGGCACAGGACCTGTATTCCCAACTCTGACAACCCCATCCCCACGATGGAGATATCAGTCATCACATGAGATGTCTCAGGAGGTGCAGCCCTTAATGGCACGTGGGAGTGTTGCACTCTCAGTGTATTTTATCCCCTATAGCATTTTTTTGCCCCACTGCATATTTTATCCAGCCCGTGCAGGATGTGCCACCCAGCAGCCCCAAAAAAGCAATCCTGGGGTGCTTCCAAGACACAGCACCATGGTTCCTTCCCTCCTGGTGAGCATGGGAGCACACCATGGCCCCCCTGGGTCCCTTCACTCACCCAGCGCGGCCACGACGAGGAAGAAGGAGGCAACACCCAGGAAGAAGGCATCCGGCTTGGTGTAGGACAGCAGCTTATGGATGGTGGGACCGGCTGCCTCTTCCCGCTTGTCCCTCGGGACACCCCCATCACAGCTCTCCTCCACCTCGGCGCGGGACTCGGAGCCGGGCCCCAGCGCCTCGCGGGACGAGGTGACACAGGCCAGCAGCTGCCACAGCCCGAAGGTGGCCGCCAGCGCCACGTAGGTCCAGGCAAAGAGCCCCCAGAACCAGGGGTCCCGGATGGTCTTCCGCACCTCCGAGTAGAGCAGCAGCTTCACCATCATGTAGATGCCCATGAGGAGGCAGACAACGGCGATGAAGGTCCGTGACGCCTTGAGGCGCCGGGGGCCATAGGCAGTGTTGGTGGCCACGCCGATGGCGGCCCCCAGGAGCACACAGCTGCGGTACAGGCAGCCCCCCCAGATGTCCAGCAGCGAGTTGAAGATGTTGAAGTGTCGCAGGTCCTGCAGGACGTTCCGGCCTCCCTGGCCGTGGGTGTAGAGCAGGGTGGTGACCGCCACGTCGGCCCCGCTGAGCGCCAGCGTGCTGGCCACCGCCTTCCAGGCCCGCATCCTTGGCACTGGGACGGGGGGGCACCCAGGTGGGGGGGCAGCCCTAGCACGGGAAGGATGTGGGCATGTTGACCTCCGCTGTGGGGAGAGAATAGTGGGATGGGGTTGTTATTCACCCCAGAGAGGTGATGAGGAAAGGGCAGCAGGATGGGGGGACAACCGTGCCAGCTCCCCACCCACCCATCTTGACCTCAGACACCTCTAATCTGTTCCTTCCTCCCCTTCCCTGCTGCAGACACTCCAAGGTATTTCATAAAGTGAGCAGTACAAACCAAGACAAACTTCCCTCCCAGATGCCTTCACCCATCCTGAATCCCAAAGCAGAAATCTGCACTTCTCAGTGGGAATATTTGTCCCTGTTTGCTGTGGTGGCTGCAGGGCCAGCCGGGCGGTCCCCAGCAGTCGGGTGCTGCCATGCCATCTGTGCAACCCACGTGTTCTGCGCTACGGAGCCGGGTAGGTGTTAAACTCGGTTATTCATGATCCCAGAGTCCCTTCCCACCCTTCCCAGGACAAAGCTAAAAGTGAGCAATCAAAACCGCAGGAAAGCAGAAGGAAGAGCAGCTCAGCTTTGTAATGGATTCCCCTGATCAAAACCTGAATAAACCACAGATACAGCAGCTTGTCACACCTTCTAGTCCCCAGCCCCCTTTGGATATTAACTCAGGGTAGCCCATGAAACTCACTGTACAGTCCGGGTGCAGTTCAGTGACACAACAAAAATCCCAAGAGGAAATTAAAAAGGGGTTGGAATTCCACAGCTGCATCCTGTGGGAGAGGAAGGCTCTGGGGCGGGACGCTGCCTTTGCTGCCGCCCGGGGGGTCTGTCCAGCAGCAGCGATGGTGGGGCAGGGCCTGAACGGACACGGCAAAGAGCGAAAAGCTCGACTTGCTCTAAGCCCTCTAAGAACAGGGAGCGTCTCACCTGCTCCGGTGCCATGCCCAGAGGTGCCACGCGTTGGCACGAGGGAGGTACCTGATCCTCAGATTTGTGCTGGGTAAGCAGCTCATGACGGTGCACAGTGCGGAAGGCGCGGTACAGGGGGGTGCCATGTGCCGGCCACGCTCCACCCTGTGTGACCGCAGCCCCCCAAAAACCAAACCTCGGGGAGAAGGGCAGCCCTTGGCGCTGGACGAGCAGCGCCCTTGGCCGAGAGCGGCTCGGTGGGCGGGCAAGTGGGACGAAAAGCTAAAGAGTGGAGGAAAACGGGGCAGAGGCTGCAATCTGGGGAAAGCACGGGGGGTTGTGGGGTGGGGAGGGAAGGAAGGATGGAGGGGAAGCAGAGCAGCGATGCCAGGGAGGAGCAGGACACGCTTCCCAGGGTGCTCGCTGCTGCCATCCGCTGCAAAGCTGCGCGGATCCGGCCCGCTGGAGCAGGAGGAGGAGGAGGAGGAGGAGGAGGCGGCCACCGCAGCTCTCCACCACCCGCAGCCGCGTCCCAAGATCCCGAGCTGGAGCCGGCCAAGGTCCCCGGCCGCACCCCGGCTTCCCCCCGCAGGATATGCTCCCACGGGAGAGGGGGAACACGCCTGGGAAGGGCCGTGCCCGCCATCCCACGGACACGCACACACGGCTCCCCCCTTTGCAGCGCAGGGGCAGCTCAGCCCCGGCGCGGCCGGACGGGTCTTACCGGCGGGGGGATCAGCGGGATCAGTGGGATCAGCTCGGTCGGACCCGGCGGCGCCGCGTCCCGGGAACAAGGTCGGTGGGGGGCGTGGCCTTGGCGGTGGCCGCGCCCACGAGGCCCCGCCCCCTCCTGCGGCGCGGCCCCGGCCCCGCCCACGGATCCACCGAGCAGGGAGAGCCCCAAAATTGGGGGATCGGGTTCCCCCACCACGGCCCTGCGCGGGTAAACCTTGCCCCGACGCAACAAGGGCAACTCCAGAATTCCCCCCACCTCCAGAGAAGGGCTTTTTTTTTCCCTCCCCAAAAATATATCCATTTTAAAATTTTTATATGATTTTATTGGTTTTATCTCATTTCTGCAGCAGAGAGGGGAAAATACAACACACGACCTGGCTTTAAAAGCAACCAGGACAAAGGGTCAAGATCATGTTTTAAATTAATTCTTAAATAGGGGCTCGACAGGAGTTTAATTAACCCTTAAATAGAGGCTCATCAGGGGTTTAATTAACCCCTAAATAGGGGCTTGACAGGGGTTTAATTAACCCCTAACACAGAGGGATCCAGTTTCAAGAAATCCAGCTTATAAATTATTTCACAATTAAACCCAAGAAATCCAGCTTGTAAATTATTTTTCCCCTTCATCTCCCACTCTAGCTCCGGAAGGATGGAAGTGCTCCTCCCTGGGCAGCAACTGTGCATCCAGGTGGGCTATATAGGTGACAGAGGGGCAGGGCGGTGTTATTATCCCAAACTTCCCTTGTGGTTTTGGAGTGCTGAGCTTAAAAACACCCCTATAACCTTCACTAGCACAGAACAGACTTCAGGATTCCTGGAGTTCACTCCGTTTCTGGAGAGGTTACAAAGGAAACCTGCCTGGATAACCAAAAATATAAATATCACTTTTTACTGTTGGTTTTATTTCTGCTAATAAGTGCTTAAAACTAAAAAAAAAAAAAAAGCTCACTTCATGCCCTTCCCACATCCACTGGGAACACAGTCAGACCTGGAGTGACTCTTCCAGCTCAGGCTGACAGTGGGGATGACACTTTTAAGCTCTAGGAAACATTGTCCGTGGCTAAGCTGGGTCTGGTTTCTGATTCTCTTCCCATGTGCACCCACATCACTCCCAGGCTTTGGTGCAATTACTCCCAAAGGGCAACTTCCAAGCCACAGTCAAGGTGGAGCTTTTTGGCAGGACTGAGTCTCTCCCTGCCAAACCTAAACGAGGATGGTGCCACCTCCCTCAGTCAGAGGGATGGCCCAAGGGCAAACCTCGGGAAGGGACTGAACAGACACCCTTGTCTGAACCTTCCCCTTCCTCTCTCCCAGGACAGAGCAGGCATGTCTGCACCCTGCACTCCCAGGCAGCCACAAACCTGGGGACAGTCCGTGCTGTCCCCGGCGCCGCAGGACCCCCGAAGAGCTCCCGGGACTAACTGGTTTTCTTCCCGCTGGACAAGCTCTGCTCGGGGGGCAGGACTGTCTCGATCTGGAACGACACAAACTGGCCCTTCTTCAGTTTCTTCAGGGAGCTGGCAGTGCTGCCCCCAAACATGTTGTCCTCCACTTTGAAGGCAAGAGAGGGCAGGCCCCGACTTTTCCTCTTTATGCTCTTCCGCTCCCGGTTGTAGGCCGTGGTCATGTTGGCAATCACCTGGAAAGAGGATTGCACAGGTTGGGCTTTGAGGTGTCACACAAAATCAGCTCAACTCTGTCTCACATAGCTGGTGAATAAAAGAATCACAGAGTTGGAAGGGACCTCTGGAGATCATCCAGTCCAACCCCCCTGCCAAGGCAGGGTCACCTGGAGCAGGTGACACAGGACCATGTCCAGGTGGGTGTGGGATGTCTCCAGAGAGGGAGACTCCATGACCTCCCCAGTTAGTTCCAGTGCTCTGCCACCCTCCATGGAAAGTTCTTCCTCGGGTTGAGGTGGAACTTATGTTTTAGTTTATGGCCATTGCTCATTTTCCTGTCACTGGTACCACTGAAAAAGTCTGGCACCATCCTCTGACACCTCTTGGAGATGTTTGCTTGGATTGATGAGATCCCCTCTCAGTCCTCTCTTCTCTAGACTAACCAGGCCCAGTTCCCACAGTCTCTCCTCATCAGAGATGCTCAGAGTGAGTGAGAGCCAGTGCAGAGCTCTGCTGGGTGAGCAGAGGCTGTGCCACAGCTGGATACACCCAGGGGCAACGGAGGGACTGAGCAAGGGCTTTCCAGCCTTGTTCTCACCAACCCCAAACCAGCAGGAGACCTCATGTTAAACAGTTGCAATTCCACGGCCGTGCTCAGGGGAGCCGCTAGTTCTCCATCAGTAGAGGGCAGAAGGGGATCTAGGTTGGAGTGCCACAGAGCCACAGGGAACTTTATCACCTTCTGTCAGTGACAGCCCCAATCCCGGCCTGGCTGCAGGTGAGTCACTGACCCCCAACAGTTCCCTCATGGAAAGGACAGAGCTCTCCCTGCCCTGTGCCACAATGTGCATCTCCATTTCACAAGGGAGCCAAGCTAGTGAGCCTGAGCTGCCAAAGGGATCAGCTGGGAATGGATCCCACATATTCAGCTCCCAGGCCTCTTGCCTCCTGCCCCATATTACTCCTGTTATTCCCTGGCAAGAAGAATCACAGTCCAGGTGATTCACAGAGAACCACATAACCCTGCCTGAGTGTAAGAAATGACTGAGCAAACAAAGTACTTGAGCCCTGCCTGTGATTTTTTGGCACATGGCTCACCAAGCCCTTTACAGGGGACACTGAGGTAATTTTTTAAGTTAGGAAACCAAGAAACAGAGAGACTAAACAAGCCGTCCAAGGTCACTCAGCATGTCAGAGACAGTCAGGAAGTGAATGGTGACCTTGTTTCTCCTTGCCCACTGGCCCAGTAGTCCTCATGGCAGCCCCAAACTCCTCCCATTTTGAGGCAGGGTTTCTTTTAACCTTTGTAATTACACAGCGTGTCCCTGAAGGCTCCTTGTCCCCGCCTGAGGAGGGACTCCCTTGGCTGATTTGAGATGCAGATTACAAGGCAAAGAGCTGGGCAGGCTGGGACACAGCTCTTGATGGGGAAAGCCAGTCCCTCGTCTTTCATCACCCACCTCTGAGCAGCAACACCACCAGCTTCCCTGTGGTGCTGCCTCAGAGGGTCCAGCTCTGCTCCTGCTGCCCTTGGACCACATCGAGGTGCCACCTGCCACCTCTCCTCTCAGGCCTGCCCTGGACTTGGCCGCAAAATGATTTCAAGGCACCACAAAACTTACAATTTCTTTCACCATGTTCTGCTGCTCCTGCACCGTGGCTGTGAAGGGTGGGAGGCCGTCGGCTTTACCAGACCCCTGCTCTTTAGAGTCCTTGACAAAATCCACCTGCAAGGTACAGATTTGGGTGTTACTCTGTAACCACGCCAGTGACAAACCTCCTGCCAGACTCTCCTGGGCCGAGCAGTTACCTCTGAGGACAGGCACACGTATCTGTTGAACATGAGGAAGAAGGGGCTGTACTTGGTGGCCGAGTTGACCGAGGTGCGGAAATGGAAGAGCACGGGGTCCAGGTGGGCGTCCCACTCACTGGGCTTCTCGTTCACCATGTTGCAGATGGAGGACCTGAGCACCTCAGCACTGGGGTCATCCAGGCTGTCAGTGGGGTCTGCAGGGGTGAGGACCTGTGAGATGTTCCAGTGCTCGCACAGCTGCCGGCTGACCTGCAAAGGCAGGGCCAGGCCCGCCGGAGAACACGGCCCATCAGCACCACAGCAGCCTCCACAGCCCCCACGGCCCCCTCCCCATGCCAGGGGATGCTGCGCAGCACAAACAGCTCTCCAGAAAATTTAGAGCCGGAGAAAAGGTTTTGCAACGACTGTTTCTACACCTGAAGCTTTCCACAGCACTGTGAAGCTGGGTTAATCCCAGGGTAGGGCAGGATCTCATGCACATGGTCTCACAGGACCTTTCCTTCTCAGCAGAGAGGCTGGAGGTCTTGCACCACAGAACCACTGCCTTAAATCCCTGCCAGGGTGAAAATCACCTGGCAAATCACCTCCCACTCCCAACAGGGCTGGGACAAGGATAAGGCACCATCAGCTCCTCACCCCCACTACATGGCACATTGCAACTCTGCCTTCAGGACCTGCTGCCCAAAAAACCTGCTGCAGGTCACGTGGCTTCTCCCTGAACCACCCAGCCCCTGACCTACCTCCTCACAGAAGTCCCAGCTCTGACTGGTGTAAATGTTCTTGGATGCACCAAACCTGAACAAGAAGAGGACACACAACTGGTTTTATTCCATCAGCTGAGGCAGAGCCAGAGGATTTTGCTCTTCATGGATGCAAATGGGATATGAAAGGGACAGAGACCCTCCAGTGGGGCTGGTGCTAATGAGGCTGGCGTGACCCCACTTCCCCACGAGCAGAGAGGGGTCTGCTGGCTCCATCTGTTCCAAACCAGCCAAGCCTGTCTGCCTTTGAATGATAGGGCAGCAGGAGAAGCAAGAGAAGTTTCTTGCTCTGAATGCAAATCTCCACTGGCCCTGTGAGTTTTCCACAAGGACAATGTCACGTGGTGGCATGTGCCATGTGAATGCAAAATGAACACTTTCCAGGAGGAATGAGGGAATGGCTTTAAAGCTCCTGCAGAGAACTGGGGCACAGCTCTCTTGGCCTCGGGGCTACTCGGAGAGCCACTTCTGCTTCTTTCTCCCCTCCCTGTAACGAGGATAACAGGCTCTCCTATAAAGAGCAACTGAGAGGCACTGCATGGTCTCTCCTGTAGAAGGGGGACTTCCTGCTCTCGTGGGGAAACATCTTGAGGACACTGAGCATTTTTTCAACACAGATCCCAGCGCTCCCCATCTCACTGCAGAAGTGCAATGTAACCAACAATAGATGAGCCCACCTGTAAAAAATGGCAGCCAGGGCTTTAGCCACAGATAAGGGATCTTTCTTCTGCAGAGGAGCAGCCTCCACCCACTTGGTGAAGTAGTCAGTCACAAGGAGTACGTGTGTGTTGCTCTGACTCGTCTCGGGAAAAGGACCTGCGCAAACAACCATCCAAAAAATCAATGTGATGCCGTAATATCAC